TTCATTCATTCATTTACTCACTCACTTCATTCATTCATTCATTCATTTACTCACTCACTTCATTCATTCATTCATTTACTCACTCACTTCATTCATTCATTCATTTACTCACTCACTTCATTCATTCATTCATTCATTTACTCACTCACTTCATTCATTCATTCATTCATTCATTTACTCACTCACTCACTTCATTCATTCATTCATTTACTCACTCACTTCATTCATTCATTCATTTACTCACTCACTTCATTCATTCATTCATTTACTCACTCACTTCATTCATTCATTTACTCACTCACTTCATTCATTCATTCATTTACTCACTCACTTCATTCATTCATTCATTTACTCACTCACTTCATTCATTCATTCATTTACTCACTCACTTCATTCATTCATTCATTTACTCACTTCATTCATTCATTCATTTACTCACTCACTTCATTCATTCATTCATTTACTCACTCACTTCATTCATTCATTCATTTACTCACTCACTTCATTCATTCATTCATTTACTCACTCACTTCATTCATTCATTCATTTACTCACTCACTTCATTCATTCATTTACTCACTCACTTCATTCATTCATTCATTCATTTACTCACTCACTTCATTCATTCATTCATTCATTTACTCACTCACTTCATTCATTCATTCATTTACTCACTCACTTCATTCATTCATTCATTTACTCACTCACTTCATTCATTCATTCATTCATTTACTCACTCACTTCATTCATTCATTCATTCATTTACTCACTCACTTCATTCATTCCACTTCATTCATTTACTCACTCACTTCATTCATTCATTCATTTACTCACTCACTTCATTCATTCATTCATTTACTCACTCACTTCATTCATTTACTCACTCACTTCATTCATTCATTCATTTACTCACTCACTTCATTCATTCATTCATTTACTCACTCACTTCATTCATTCATTCATTTACTCACTCCTTCATTCATTCACTCACTTCATTCATTCATTCATTTACTCACTCACTTCATTCATTCATTCATTTACTCACTCACTTCATTCATTCATTCATTTACTCACTCACTTCATTCATTCATTCATTTACTCACTCACTTCATTCATTCATTCATTTACTCACTCACTTCATTCATTCATTCATTCATTTACTCACTCACTTCATTCATTCATTCATTTACTCACTCACTTCATTCATTCATTCATTTACTCACTCACTTCATTCATTCATTCATTTACTCACTCACTTCATTCATTCATTCATTTACTCACTCACTTCATTCATTCATTCATTTACTCACTCACTTCATTCATTCATTCATTTACTCACTCACTTCATTCATTCATTCATTTACTCACTCACTTCATTCATTCATTCATTTACTCACTCACTTCATTCATTCATTCATTTACTCACTCACTTCATTCATTCATTCATTTACTCACTCACTTCATTCATTCATTCATTTACTCACTCACTTCATTCATTCAATTCATTCATTCAATTCATTCATTCAATTCATTCATTCAATTCATTCATTCAATTCATTCATTCAATTCATTCATTCAATTCATTCATTCAATTCATTCATTCAATTCATTCATTCAATTCATTCATTCAATTCATTCATTCAATTCATTCATTCAATTCATTCATTCAATTCATTCATTCAATTCATTCATTCAATTCATTCATTCATTCAATTCATTCAATTCATTCATTCAATTCATTCATTCAATTCATTCATTCAATTCATTCATTCAATTCATTCATTCATTCATTCATTCATTCAATTCATTCATTCAATTCATTCATTCAATTCATTCATTCAATTCATTCATTCAATTCATTCATTCAATTCATTCATTCAATTCATTCATTCAATTCATTCATTCATTCATTCATTCATTCATTCAATTCATTCATTCAATTCATTCATTCAATTCATTCATTCAATTCATTCATTCAATTCATTCATTCAATTCATTCATTCAATTCATTCAATTCATTCATTCAATTCATTCATTCATTCAATTCATTCAATTCATTCATTCAATTCATTCATTCAATTCATTCATTCAATTCATTCATTCAATTCATTCATTCAATTCATTCATTCAATTCATTCATTCATTCAATTCATTCATTCATTCAATTCATTCATTCATTCAATTCATTCATTCAATTCATTCATTCAATTCAATTCATTCAATTCATTCATTCATTCAATTCATTCAATTCATTCATTCAATTCATTCATTCATTCAATTCATTCATTCATTCATTCATTCAATTCATTCAATTCATTCAATTCATTCAATTCATTCAATTCATTCAATTCATTCATTCATTCAATTCATTCAATTCATTCAATTCATTCAATTCATTCATTCATTCAATTCATTCATTCATTCAATTCATTCATTCAATTCATTCAATTCATTCAATTCATTCAATTCATTCAATTCATTCAATTCATTCAATTCATTCAATTCATTCATTCATTCATTCATTCAATTCATTCAATTCATTCAATTCATTCAATTCATTCAATTCATTCAATTCATTCAATTCATTCAATTCATTCAATTCATTCAATTCATTCAATTCATTCAATTCATTCATTCAATTCATTCATTCATTCAATTCATTCAATTCAATTCATTCAATTCATTCAATTCATTCAATTCATTCAATTCATTCAATTCATTCAATTCATTCATTCATTTCAATTCATTTCATTCATTCATTCATTTCAATTCATTCATTCATTCAATTCATTCAATTCATTCAATTCATTCAATTCATTCAATTCATTCAATTCATTCAATTCATTCAATTCATTCAATTCATTCAATTCATTCAATTCATTCAATTCATTCAATTCATTCAATTCATTCAATTCATTCAATTCATTCAATTCATTCAATTCATTCAATTCATTCAATTCATTCAATTCATTCAATTCATTCAATTCATTCAATTCATTCAATTCATTCAATTCATTCAATTCATTCAATTCATTCAATTCATTCAATTCATTCAATTCATTCAATTCATTCAATTCATTCAATTCATTCAATTCATTCAATTCATTCATTCATTCAATTCATTCATTCATTCAATTCATTCATTCAATTCATTCATTCATTCAATTCATTCAATTCATTCAATTCATTCAATTCATTCAATTCATTCAATTCATTCAATTCATTCAATTCATTCAATTCATTCAATTCATTCAATTCATTCAATTCATTCAATTCATTCAATTCATTCAATTCATTCAATTCATTCAATTCATTCAATTCATTCAATTCATTCAATTCATTCAATTCATTCAATTCATTCAATTCATTCAATTCATTCAATTCATTCAATTCATTCAATTCATTCATTCACGCATCCATCCATCTATCCATCCCTGCGTCTTTCATTTTTACAGGACAACTATTGTTCCTTTTCCGCGCTCTTAATACTGGCATTTTTCTGTGTTTTCCTCATTTCTCTTTCCATTTCATTTTCTTTTTCATTTCAGCACTTCTTTTTATTGTCTCATTCATTCTCACTCAGTAGGAAAAATTGTATTTTAAATTCTCTTATTTTTTTCTGTTTTGTTTCAAATGTCTATGTTTCCAATATTTTTCATTATTCAGTTTCATTTACATTTTCTTCTTGCTGTTATAAATTAAAATTATCATTTATGTTTGTTGTGATAATTTCACGTATAATTAAGGAGATACCACTGTTATTTTCACCTTTGATAATTGTGATTTCATTAATTTATTCGTCAGAAAGTCAGAAAAAAGAAGAAATTTGAATGAAATTATATATATTACAATGAAGATATGATAAAATGGATAGACGGATATGTGGTTATAAGTAAGCGAATTTCTTTTATAATTAATCATTATTTTATCAATTTATTAATTGTAATTTTTTCTTATATTATTACTATATAATAATATTTATTTTTAGTGATTCATTGAGCTGGGAAAAAAATTGAATGAATTCTTTTGGATTACATTTATTCATTATTTTTCATTTCAAAAAGTTTACTTTAATTATGAACATAAATAAATGTTGTTACGTGGGAGCAATCTATCTGTAATTGTATTGTAATTTGCTTATCTCTTTATCAAAACATATACGGAAATTCATTCATTTCATTCTTTCACATTTATTTATCAGTTTTCTCATTAAATTTTAATCTATCAATCAATCAGTTTATCCATCTATCTACATATCTATCTATTGATCCCTTGTTATCTCTTCATCATTTTTATTTTATTCGTTCAAAACTAGAAAACGAAATTTCTGTCTAGTATTGATCCGTGAGATTGTCTCTACGAGGTCTTATATCTGTGAAATCTGTGACTGTTATGACCTCGCGTTGCAGGTCAATGAAGATATTTTTTTATCCAATGATATTTCTTTTTTTCTTTTTACCCTCTCCATCCCCTCCTTTTTACATTCTATAAATTGCGAATTAATGACAAGGTCAAACTTTTTTCCATCATACATTGAAGGTTTTCTATTTTTCTAATTGCTAATTTGCATCTTTATTTTATTTTTTTTTTTTTTTTTTTGCTCCCTGTTTTTTTTTCCTTTTGTTTAGCGAATGTATGAGAATCGAGTTATTGAGATGTTTTATTTGCCGATATTTTATATCATTCATAAATTTATTCTTGCTGCGCTAAATGAAACAGAAAGAAGTGTGTAGAATTAGTCAAATTTTCAGATTTTTATATCATTCAACTTTCGTTTTTTCATATACAAAAAATTTCCATTCAGTTACTAATTTTGTTTCAATTATTCAAATATTTGACAAAAGAAACGAAAAATTTCTTTATAAAATTGATATGAAATGTTTGTAACATACTATTTAGCATTTATGGAAGGAAATAACTAACAGATAGATGTATCTTAGATTCTAACAAATAATTCATTGACGGGTTCAACTACACTAAATTACTTACGTCAACATTTAATGAAGCGTTATCAAAGTGAAGCAATACAGCAACGACTTAAACTTCTCTTCAGTGTTCTTCTTCGTGGTTTCAGGTAATAGATATGTGAATAATTTGCCAGACTTACAGAGATTTAACAAACTGATAAAATAAGATGTAAAATTTTTAGGGAAAAATATTTTTTCAGTAAAATATTAGGAAATAAATGCCTTATAATTTCAAGATTTTCCTTTTTTCAATTTTATATTTAATCATTTTTAAACAAATTACATTTTTTAGATGAAGTATACCAATGATGACTGCTGTATCTATTTTAAAATTTTAGTTCATTTGTGAATCATCATGCGAATGAAGTGGCATGGTTAAAAGCTCGGCTTGAATCATTGCACTCTGATAATTTGGATGAACAACGAATCCTGCGAAAAGTTTGTTTCAGAAAATTTCCACAATATATTATGTCTTGTTTATTGTCAAATATTGCATTTTTTTGCACTTTTTTTCAGATAAAAAATAATCTATTAATTAATGTTAAGATAAAAAAAAAAATGAACATGAACATGTTCCAAGGATGACATTGCAATGTTTAACTGAGTTCATAGTTATTAACAGTTTTGGTGATGTATTAAATTTATGTTTCACTTCAAAAATATCGACTTTCGCTTGTTTCCAAATTAATTCATTTATAAAAAATCACTAATTTGAATTTGACTACCCAATGTCTTTTCTCTTATGCCTTTTTTTCTTCCCTTTACAAGATATAATGCGGACGGAAATTGCTCTATCATACAAGAATATTGAGAAAAAAAAAATAATTTAGGAATTAAAAGTAGCAAAAGAAAATGAAGAGCTTTATTCGAAACATGCAGATAGAATTGTGAAACTGCGCGACCAATATCTTGGGCAAATTACCGTTTACAACAATTTGAAAGGTATTACCTTTATTTTCTAGAATTGATCATTCTAATTAAGGTAGCATTAAAAAGAGAAAGTGGAAGGCAATAATATTTCACACATAAAAAAAAAAAGAAAAAAAATGAAATAAAAACAAAGCAAAAGGAGAATGAGCAGAAAAAATGAAATATATCGAATGAATAAAAAAAATATCCTACAAAGGATTTTATGTTATCTTAACTTCCTACTAATCCGTTAATTACAAAATCAGGTTGAAATTATCCAAACTGGATGAATAATTTCTCTTTTTTTTTATTTCTTCTAGAATTTGCACTTCAATAAGCTAAATCGCTACTTTCTTTTAAAAATCTTCTTTTCAAAATTTGCGTAAATTTTGCGTCTTTTCTCTCATATCATTCATTGAACTTATAATATTTCCACTGTTTTGGATTTTGAAATTTGTTTCATTACATTCAATTCCATGCAAGCTAATTCTAAATAGCTTCAATAAGTGCTTCAAAAGCATTTTGTTAGCATTCATTTTATAAATGAAAAAAGAATACGAAAAAACAAAGATAGATCTTGAATATTCTTTCTGTATTATGTACACATGCTTATATGTATATGTGTTTATTTGTTTGTTGTTTATGTGCATATAAATATATATGGATTCTGATTTATTATTTTACACTGTAAAACTGATGAGAAAAAGAGGTGGAATACAATTTCTGTATAGAAACATTTTACATTTACTTGAACAAAATAAAAAAATAGAAAAATATTAAAAAATTTTTAAAATCTGATTTTAAAGTTTTTCTGATTAGTGAATATTTTTTTTAGTGAAAAGAATGAAAATTCTTAATATTACAAAATTTATTGAAATTAAGTTTGTTTTTTATCGAAGGTTTTGTTTTTTCTCGTAATCTTCTATTGTCAAATCAAATTTCTTCAGAAAGTTGTAATTGTCATTGTTAGCCTTGGTAGTGCTTTGCAGAATTTTTGCACGATAGTGTTTTAAATATAGGATCAATGGCATGAATGGTATTTTGCAAATTCGTTAGTTTTTTTGCAACAGTTAACAAAAATCACTGAGCGTACTTTTTTTCGCAATTATTGAGAACTTATGCTTATGCAGAATGTTGATACAAATAACGATTCATTCATTCATGTTGGGAATGTTTCAGGATTCATTTAAATTTTCATGTTTTGGAAATTCGGATATTTTATTAGCTTCGGAAATATTTCATTTTGAGGGATATATTTGAACGGAACTTTTAAATGTGTTTTCTTTTTCTCTTTAAATAAAAAGGGACAGAAAATGGAAAAGAAGAAAGCGGATGTGAGCTATTACTGACAGTTTTCAAAATTTGTTTGAAAATTATTTCTAATTGATTTTATTTTCAAGCTAAAGTTTAGAAATTACTTGTTTATATTATGACGATTTTTGTATTGAAAATTTTTATCGCATGTTATTGCGGATTGTGACAGTCTACACTCAAGTATATGAGGTAGGAAATGAATGCAATATCCCACTATTTGTCATACAAAAGTGTCGTTATTTGTTCATTTCAAAAGAAATTCATTGCTGTGGGCAGCAGCAGCAATGTTTATTTTTCTGACTAATCCTTATAATATTATTTAACTTGAAGTCTTTAAATCATGTAATGATGTTTATCTAATCAATTCTTCGATATTATAAATATCAAACAAATTTTACAGTGGTGAGGTTAATAAAAAGTATTTGTTATGTAAGAATTTATAGAAATTGGAATAAAATATATGGATTAAGAAGATATTTATTCTACTTTTATTCAAACTATGCTTAATTGATTAATCTTTATAATTGATCAATAATTTATAATCATATTGAATCATTCTTACCAGAATTATCATCAGAAATACACCTACTATAACAATATTACTAGGCTTATAACTCATCCTTAATTATTTTATAATTTGTAAAGTTTAATGTTTAAGGGAAAATAACATTTTATGTATTTCAAAAGAAAATTTCATCATTCGTTATATTTTGTTTACTTTGCTAATATATAATGTTTAAGCTTTTAGGTAAATTTTAATTGCTAGGAAAGTAAATTTTTGTGTGCACATACTTCTCTTTCTTTCTCACTCCCTCTCTCTCCCACTTTATAATTTGACGTTTGTTATTCTTCACAACCTCTCATATTGAAGTATCATCCATTTCTTGTTATCTTTAATGGATAGTAAAAGCAGTGGATGAATTCTGATCGATTTCATTGGAAGAGAAAAGAAGAGAATGTGATACATTCACGTAGATCAGCTCGACTTAGTTATTCCTAAAATATTATTCAAAATCAATGTGAGCATTATATAGCTAGCTCATTGAAAAAATCTTTTCAGTAATGAAATCGTTATGACAGCTATCTTCGAAGTTTGGGTTAAATAGGTCATTCATCGGAAATTATATATATTCTGCAAAAAAAATTTTTTTTGATGAATTTCTATGCAGAATTTTGTTTTTTTTTTTTTTTTTCTGCCTTTTTAATTAAGAAGTTTAGGTGGATCAGTTGGTGATTTACGATTATTGGGAGGTTCAACACGTTCCATTCCATCATTTGGGAACAGTAACCGGATGACAAAACGTTTGAATCAAGCTGCAGCAGCTGTTGAATTGGAATTGTACAGTATGGTGGGACGTTTACAAATCGAAATTAAAGGTCTGCGTTTTTTTTTTTTTTTTTTCTTCATGTGGATTATTAGGATGATATGGAGAATAAATAGCATTCAGTTTACTGAAAACAGATGGAATTCATTTCATGATTGGTTAAATGAATGTTTTTTCTCTTTGAGGAATATTTTTAGAATTCTTTTGTAATTTTTGTGGTTTTTTTTTTTTTTTTTTTTTTTTTTTATAAATTCAGATTTTGATGAATGGATTTTTATTTATTTATTTATGTTTTTGAGTCTTTATAAAATTTTCTGAATATGAATTATTTATAATTGTTCAAAAATAATTTTGTTAAATTGCTACAGTAATTTTGCAGCTATTATTGGATTCGCTCGCATAACACCTGGTGATATTTTTGAAGTATCGATCAGGCATGGTACTCAAAAATGGAAAACACGTGGTAAGACTCAACCGGATCGGACTCAGAGATGGGATCATTCTTCAGTTATATTTATATGTTATCCAGATTGTCCTATTGAAGTGAAGGTAATTTTCATTAACATTTTTAATTTGGAAATTTGTTGTTGCATTTCAAAAATCGTTTTTTTCTTCCTTATTGCTGGCTAAAATGTTATGTCTGGATTTCCAAAAAGAATATTTGCGGGATACATATTATTCTAATCTTTAAAAGAAATTTCAATTTCCAGGCAACAGAGGTTCGCTTTTTCAAATCGAAAACACTGAGCGAACGTTCTTTTGATCCTGGTGAAATGTTTTGTTCACAGTCACAACTCTTAACGGTTAATTTGAATCAAATTGGGACACTCAAATTAGAATTGGTTGTTCACTGGTTGTAAGTTTTATTCTTACTATTTCAAGACGTTTTTAACATCATAACGTAATTAATTGGTTGCTATTATAGGAATTTAATATTTTAAGTCGGAACGAGCTAACTTGAATTTTTCTTAATTAATCTTCTATAACATGCTTGCAGAATTTAGTAATAATTTCAACAAATAGCATCTTTTAATCATTACTTCTCCGGTTGGGTACACCTTATTCTGCTGCTCTAGTTAATAAAACTTTTGATTATGTCAAATTCTCATCTTGAAATATTAATCTCTAAATTTCTCAATTTTCTTCTGAAAAGTGGCGCAAATGTACTCAATTGTAGGCCACTAATGAATGCAAAGAATTCGAATAGTATGAGTAGCGCATACAGTTCATTGTTCAATGAAAATTGTTTCTTGGATAATGCGTCAACTAGTGATGCAGTTGTATGTATTTTGCTAACTTTATACTACATATATCTTTCAAATTTTGAAAATTCTAAAATTAAATTATGATCCGCAAAAATTTGTGATTAATTACCAGACATGGAAACTTTAAAGTCATTATTTCAAATCACAATTTTGCGAATAATGCAGAAAAGGAAATAGTTACAGGAGAAGAAACCTCGAATCTTATTGCGCGAGAAGAAGCGCAATAATCAACTTATGAGACAAAAAGAAATTTGGCGTTCATCAACAAATATCTTAGATTGTGTTTATGATGATATTAGCAAGTCAATCCCAACCATTGATACGGTGAGCTTTCGTGATTTCTTTTTTAATTTTCAAAAATTTTAATTGGATTTGTTTCTAATGTTTTTATAACAAATGCCAAACTTAAGGATTGTGCTTAACGCTTCTGACTCTTTACATTTAACAATTTTGTTTTTCTGCTTGTACTAAGGTCGTGAAGACTCGGCTAATGTTACACTTAAATCTCACTGTTTGTTTGTTTACTTTTACTTGTATCAATTCGAAAAAGGAGAAAGAAAAACGAGAAAATTTATAGATGGAGGCATTGCCTATAAAACGAGGGGAAGTAAAAAAAGAAGCACCTGAATCAGTTTACCTTAAAAATGAATGGAAACGTTCAGTTAGCGTGTCACAACTTGTAGCAAACTCAAATCAGAATTTATGTGAACGTATTTCTCCAACATCTTCGGCACCAACTGAGGATGATTTGTTACATCTTATTGGATTGATTCAACCAGTTACTTCAAAACTGATTCGGAAATATCCTGAAATTGCTACCAACAAATCATGTGTGACTCGTTGGGAGAGGTTTTTGAAGGTAAAAATATTTTTCGTTGCCGCTTTTTGCCAATGTGCAGTAGAATACAAAAATTTTTTCTAGTTCAAATTAATAACTTCATTTTTACTGAGCGAAAATTTCAGATAGATGAAGTGTCAGTTGGTCGGAAAGACGAATTAGCAAATGGGATTGATGGGGATTATCGAGATGAACATGATGAGAATTTTGGATTTCAAGGTGTCGAACAGACGTTAGTTTGGAATCATTTGGAGAGAAAAAAAATACCTCTGTAATTCTTGATTTTATGAAAGTTGATATCTTTAGAAAATTCTGTTTTCATTTCTTTAATCTTATATGATTTAAATTTCTCGATAAATGCCACACTGGTGAGACAGTGGAAGCTATGCAGGACATATTTTCGCTATAAAAAGAAAAATCTCTTACAGATCAGAAAATGATAGCGGTATTGATTCATTACGACAGCATATTTCCCCATATAGTGCAAAGAATTGTTCAACTATTGATAGGGCAAGCTGCATTGGAGCTATTGGATCGGGCCCATCACAAAGACGATTCAGACAGGTTAGATATGATGTTAGTTAAAAATTGTTTCAGAAAAAATGCATTTTTTTTTATTTTCAATTTCAAGTACAATTCAGGGCTGAACTTTTTTTTTTCCAGATGAAGGAGAAGGAAAGGCGCAAGTCTGTTGGTGTTATTATCGATTTAACTTCCGAAAATCAATATTTTGGAAATTCAGATGAATTATGGTTACGCTCAAGTTCCGACAGTTCATCCAGTGGTTGTTCAGTTAATCGCTTATGGGATCGAACATCAGCTAACGGAATATCTCGTGAATTACATCTCTGTCTTAGGCATCACTTAAAGCGGTGCTTAAATACACTTACAGTTGGTTTATTTCTTATTGTTATCTATCAACAGTATTAATTAATGACGGTGAAAAATAAAGTTTATGGTGCTAAGTATTGTCTTGGCATTCAATGAATATTCTAAGGTATTGGGACTATTGCCATTTCGATTCCATGAAAGTCAGCTAAGAAGTTTTTGCTAAAAGTGAAACTATGAAACTTATTAAAATTAAATTCATGATACACTGGCTAAGATTTTATGTTGAAATTTTTGAGCATCTAATTTCATGGAGGACAATAATTATAACACTAATTTTATTTCGAGGCTTTATCAAGTATTTACGGTCCATTAGAGTATCGCGAAAATGAAATGTTGGGTAGATTGGAAGAGGAGACATCTACGCTAAATGAATTGATCAAATTGGCTTCAAAAAAGCATTTGTCGATGATTCGTAAAAATGGTGAATTAGTTTCTAGTTTATCATCAGATTATTTGATTATTCAGTTTATCTGATATTTCGGTTTTACATCCATGGTTACATTACGTTTCCGGTATAATTTTCTGAAAAAAACTTCAATGCAGCCGTATCATTTCTTCCATTTCCTTCATTGATTAGGGCAACAATTAACAATGAAAAATGTATTGTATAAGTTTGAATTTTATCTGTTTCAAATTTATTTTATTCAGTTTTTACAGTGTTATATGTGTTAACTAATGATTCGGAAGTGCAAGAAGTATGGCTTTCCGTGGCCTTCCAATTGAATGCTACCTTAATTGTACCGATGGAATCTTTGCGGCAACAGATTCGTAGTCATTTTGGATCGATGATTGAAATTCGTTATCCAGATTTAGTTAATAACGGTATATGTTGTTGTTTGATTCGTGAGAATTTTAGGATGACGTTAATTTTAAGTTAGTGCTTAGATTTTGAACTTTTCTAGCATTTATCATAAAGCTATTATCAGTGATTATTTCAGTGATTGATACTGTCATGTCGCTATTAACGGATAAAAATACATGGGAACCAGAATACATTAGCATATTTCAATTTGTTAATCTATTTCGTGGTAAACATGTCGCTTCATTCGTTGAAAATTTGGCACATGAAGGTATTGAATAATAATTTATAATATATTCTATGTTTTGAGCAGCTTTTTCTTACTATTATTCTTACTATTCTATGCTTTGAATAGCTTTTTCTTACTATTTTTTGTATCCGAAATATTTCATTTTCATTATGTTGCTGTTGGATTAATCATATCTGTTCATAATTTTTCAGCATTAATAATGTCACATCTAAGCTCACGCCAAATCAATCTTGTTAAAGAAGTTATGAATCGATTATCACAGATTCCAGTTGTTCCACCATTGGAAAGTTTACGATACATTTCGCTTGTGCTTGTTTGCCCGGATCGTAATTTGCAATCAGTTATAGGTAAGTGTTACAATTTTTTTTGCAACAATTTTTTTTCCAATCATTATTTAATAACTTTTTTCAGATTCATTTTTCAAGTGAACTAATTATGAATGAGAATAAAAATGTGCAAATCTCACCATATTGATCTTATTGAATTATAAATTTCCTTTCAGAAGCTTACCTTCTATCAGCAAGTGGACGGTTGCGTGATGATCTAATAACGTGTTACATTTGCCTTTTGGAGCATGAGAATGAGCAAAGTCGTAAAGGTGCTTGCCGCGCATTAGGCACACTTGGAGTATGTTTGATTAATATATGTCATTTCTTTCTTTGAAATTGGTTTAGATCAAATTTACAAGTTGGAAGCAATCGAATTGATCTATGTACATTGATTGTTTCCGTAATTTAAGTGCTATGTCAACATTATTTAAAAAATATTGATATGTTAAGGAAGTTATAGAAGAAAAGTAATTTTGATCTGCCAAAAAACTAAAATTACTCGAATTCGCAAATTTAACACTCACATTATAACGATGTTCCGTGTTTTTTTTTTTTTTTTTTCGTTTTGTTTTTAAGATACAATGTAGCTTTATTTTTATTTTTTTTTTTCTACGACAACAAAAATAACATTAATGATACTTTCAGTCATCAAAAGGAGTATATCCTTTGACATTTTTATATGGTAATGATCCTGTGCAAGCTGTACGAGAGGAAGCACATAGAGCATTAAGTAAAATAACGCGTGATTTGGATGATTTGACAAATATCGAAACTACTAAAATTTAAAATTTTCACCTACTAAATCTGTTTGTTGCTTTTCCTTCTTATGAATGATTGTTAAAATATAAATTACGTTTTTGTTCCATTATGACTATTCCTTCTGTTTTTTTTTTCTTTTTTGTTAAATAGGCCATCGTTTTTTTGAAATGCTTGTGCACTTATTGTATGCGATATTCCTGTAATGGACGAAATGCTTTCATTGTTCTCTAATTATTAACTAATTACATATGAATGTTGCATTGTAAATTCTACTTTTTCTTGTGCCTATCTTTTTTATCACGTTATATTTTTTTTATATCTTCATATAACGTTTATTTAAATAACAATTTCGTTTTCTATTCTTTCTTCAGCCTTTTATTTATTAGTTATTAATTTGAAAGGAAAAGAAAATGTATATTTACTTGTATTTTCTTTTTTTTCTTTTTTTCTATTTTTCCTTTCTAATTTACATACTTTTCTTATTCTTTCATTTTTGCTCATTTATATTATTTGCTCCATTTATATAAAATATATATATATATATATATATATATATATATATTTTTTTAAGAAAGAGAAAAGCGAGTTCCAATTAATTAATTATTACACAAGTTGTTCTTTTTTTCGTATATTAATATTTTTTTCTGTATTGATTGGTGAAATTCAATGTGAATTTTGATACTGATTGATATTTATGTATTTATGACCAATTCCGGTATATCAGTACTATTAATCTATCACTCAGTCTTGTTTATTTTATTAATAACTGCTATTAAATTCTTTGAACAAATTGAATCTGTGCTATTATTTTTGATAATTCATTACACTTATTCCGAATATTATTCATTTACTGGATCTTTCCTATCTATTCTCATTCTCGGGAACAAAAATTTGGAAACTACAAAGAAAAATCTCATTATTTTTAAGATTCATGATGTAGTAGTTTTGTGTTTTTTTCAGGACCGGTTCCTTTTTTTTTTGCAATACATGACATCAAATACTAATTATGTTACGGAATTTCGATATTTCTACTGTAAAAATATTTTTAATTTGATGCCACATCTATTTCATTTTGAAGAAATCCGAAAGAGCACGAAAATTAATGTGAAATGAAAATAATGTGATTAGAATTTTGTAGCATCATTCATAGTATTTCACATTTTACATATGATTAAATTTCATTATCAGTGAAGTAAGTTTTGTAAAATTCTCGAAGCTTGTTTCTTTTTCTTTCTAATCGAAAGTCATTATTTACTTTATTTATTTACTATCTATTCATTCTAATCGAACCAAATGATAACGATGTTTACAAGTGATTCTAAAGTCTTGTAATACTCGACGTATGTTTTAATTGTACTGTAAATATGTTTCTAATTTACATTTAATTATATCTCCCTTATATATTTTATTTTGTTCATATAAATATTTGGATTACTTATCAGGATTTTTGTTTTTCTTTTTTTTGAAAATTGAAATTGAATAAGTCGTTGTTCATGATGATAATTCTTTTGACAACATAACGTTAACATTTTTCAAAATATTTTTGTTTTACAACATTTCCTCTCAAAATTATTAAGTACATAGTTTCATAGTGGTTACGATAGAGCTATTACAAATGAAGTTTAGTGAAATGAATTCTTTTTCAATTAATTTTGAAATAATGAAATCCCACGCAAACACTGCAATAATAGAGTGTAAAGATTATTTTCCATTATGGTAGCAAAGTGTGAAATTTCAAAAATTTAAACATTGTGTTATTTTTGTTGATTCGTTAAGCATCATTTGCAAAATGATGAAATTTCCTCCATTGAATTAATTATAATTCATGTTAACCTAACTATTCGTAAATTTAACATAACAATAGTAATTTTAATTATGTATTTGCAGACAGATAAATATGTCTTTTTTTACCAATCGATTATATCCACGTGGAAGTGCTGAATTTATTGTTGCAAATGATACCACTAACATAAAATTATGTCAAGATGGAATACTAAAAGTAGCTGAACTTGTATGTTTTTATAATTTCAAATCTCTTTTTTCATTCAAATGGATGTATTTTAAAAATGATCATATCAAGTGTAACAATTATTAATTACATAGTTCCATAATGATTACCATATAGCTATTACAAATCAAGTTTAGTGAAAAAAAAAAAAAAAATTCAAAGAATTTTATTTCCACAGAAACTACCTTGAAAATTTTTTGAAATTGTTCACCTAATTGAATTATTCATAATTTAAACATTTGAAATGCAATATTGTTTTTTTTTTATTTTTTTGAAATACAGATCATGAGCAATGATTTTACGGAAGACACATTTTTTTCACTTGATGTTCATCCACAAATGGCTAATCGTAAAGCTATTGATTGGTAAAATTTACATCTTACAACTTACTTAGTATAAAAAAATTTATGGCTTAATGAATGTAAAAGAATGTAATAGTACTAATAATTCTGTTCATGTCTTTTTTTTTTAACAAGTATAATTCAAGGAAGAACCAGGTTTTTTCTTTATGTAGGTGTAAAGAAGTTAATATGAATAGACGAGATTTTTTCAAATATAGATCTTTTTTGACTACATTTTATGAAATAAGCGATAAAATTGCCAAGATTTTCCAAAAATTTCCACATTTTTACATCGCTTTTTTGCTACACTTTTTTTTTTCCTTATAGTTTATTAGTATATGTAATTCATTATTAACTTATCATTCCTTGCAGGATTTTTCTTGTTGATACAATCAATTTCTCATTTTGGTCCGATGATGTAAATTTTAAAGTAACATTTCACGACAAACAACATACAGGTTATTTCGCTGCATGTGCATGCATTAATCGAGCCTTAGAAGGAAGCATACCGATTACGAATCCTGATTATATGGAAAACATAACTGAGGATGATGTTAGAAGAATCTTCAGAACTGATGATGGTTGATTTTTTATACTTTAATCATTCAAACAGCAAGTTGGCACTTTGGTATAAAATTACTATCATTTATATTTTGTCCAGGATCACCAGAATTGTACAGGTCTTTTGTGCAATAACTACACTGGTAAAACTGTATGTTGAGTACAGGTTAATCTAAAAGGTTCAAAATGTGAGCCATCAATTTTTATACTTATGTATGTAGCGGTTTGTTATGTTAAAGATTTGGTAATTTTTTTTTTTTTTTATAGTAGAGCATCAGTGGTTCCACGACGAGCTTATTGCAAATAAAATTAAGATTTGATCAACTAACAATTCAATAGGAAGAAAAAAAAAAAAACAAAATTTATTTTTAGGAAGGGAAATCCCTTTATTAAAAGAACGAGTGGAAGTGATAAATGAAGCCGGCAGAATACTTAATCAGGCATAGAAGTTTAACGAATTAAAGTTTAATTGCGCATTTTTTTACTTCTTACGCTTGTTTCCTTGTTCTAATTGGAATAAATTTGATAGGAATTTGATGGAACATTTTACAATTGCGTTTTGAAATGCAATAGAAGTGCCATTAAACTGATGGAGTGTGTTGTTGAATATTTTGGAAGTTACCGTGACTTTGCTACCTACAAAGGACAAAAAAGTATGACTCCTTTCTTTCCTCTTGTCAGTTAACTGTTATTTTTTTCGAAATTCTTATGCCATTAAATATTTTTGATGTAGTGTGACAGGAATTTTGGCTATATGTATGAGCCGAAATAAATGTATTCACAGCTAATATAACAAATATTCAAAAGACATGCCTATTAATTTGTACAAATTTGAAGTAAACCAATAAATTGATCAATATTGCTACACTTCTACTTTTTGCTTCGATATATTTTCTAGTTTCCTTTCTCAAGCGAGCACAAATCCTTGTGAGTGATATTTACTCATGTATGCGAAAAATTGACGATGCATGCTACTTTCATGACATTAAGTAAGAGTTTTTACTTTATATTCAAAGAAATAGTCATTACATAAATCCAAATGTTATGCACAACCATTTACATATTACAGTGAACTTACAATGTTTGCCGATTATCGTGTACCACAAGTACTTCACTTCCTAGGTGTACTGAAATACTCGCCAGCACTAATGAAAAAGCTAAATGAAAAAGAATTACTACAAAATGGTTCAGAATATGAAGTGGAACTTCGGGGATTCTCAATCAAGGCTTGTGATGTCTGTTTTCGTTTTTCGTCCACAGTTAAGCAAAACAAATATTATAAAACCTTCCTTTCAAAGAAAAAAAAAAAACCATACGAAAACCATCTTTGATTTTAATAAAAAAGAATCACACATTTTCTGATGGATTTGAAAAAGTTTTTTAATTTCTCACTGTCAAACAATTTTCAGGACATTGTGAAAGTAATACAGCAGAAAGCAACGGACGGCAGTTACACTATGTACAATGCAGCTTATGTAGACAATTTTTTATGGTTATATCGACGAAAAAATGCTAAAGAAATTGAAGAAATGGTTACATTTCACCGAACACGTTGTATATACTATTAGATTTTCGAGTTTAAGTCTATGAGTACTTGTTGTTGTGTTTTTTTTTTTTTCTCTCACTTTTGATATATGGATGAAAGATTAGATGGTCCATCAATTTTTCACTTTTCACATATCAGTAAATCTTATCATTATCCTATAGCCTTTGGATCGATATTTTGGCAAGATAAAGTGTTATTTAGTACTAGATTCCAGATTACAAATCTATTGGTTTTGAAGCTGTGTATTATTAAATAATAGATGCAAAACGAAATAAGGCACATTGAACCTGCTTAGTTAAAATAAGTGAAGAATGCTGTAGTTTACACAAGAATCATATTATCAGATAATTAATCAGACGCATATGCTACCATCTCTAAAATCCGATTTGCCGATAACGATGTTTGCAACCACCGAAATACCATTCGTTGCAGCTGCGAAGATTTTTTCAAAACGTTCCACTGTCAGATCTTGTTTATTGGCAATCAATGCACCACGTGCACCCAGTGCAGCCCCTACGTTGTCATATCTTCTGTACTGAAAAAAGTCTCATTTTGATATTATGGAACAACATACCTTTATTATGTCAAAACAAACAACTCATCACTAAGAAAATCTACAAAGGACTCTAATACATCCTACATATCCTGAGTAAATTTTTCGGAATTTAGCGTTACATACTTCATTACCACTGGTCATAAAGAATTTTCAACAACAAAACATACAAAAGAAAATCTTAACTGAAAACCTCATTTACTATGAAGCAAAACTGTTTAATAAGATATGTGAAGTAATAAAATAACATACCTCAAGATCCACCGCAACCGAACTATGGAATGTAACAACTTGCTCACGCGCGATTTGTGACCAGCAAGCATCATTACCAATTAACGCTACAACAGAAAGCCCATGACGCGAAAAAGTATCAAATTCCATTAACGAAAATCCACAGGATCCATCACCGTATAAAATTACAACTGGACGATCTGGGTAAACCTATAAAAAACTAAACATAAATTTACATGAGGAGACAAAACATAATTACTCCCCAAAAAATTTGACATGATTTATAATCTAAAGAAAGTCACACTTATTGCCTTATACCGGATCTCCTTTTATATCATGTGCCGATCGATTCACTCATAAAGAAAAATATTCCAAATCACTAAGATATAGATATCGCATGATCTAAAATGTGAGATACTACCAAAGAAAAAACACATTAGTATGCGTAATGTTGGGATTCAAAACCAAAGTAGATGCTATGGAATTGTTTGCGGGCTATTAATATTTGAACCAACAGAGAAGAAAGTGGTATATATATATATATTTTTTTTTTAAACTAGATTTCCTCCAAAACAAATTCTCATATTTCTATGAAATATAGGGTAACGCACAGCTTTTGCTCCAAGTGCAAAACCGGCTCCAACACCCAAAGTACCGAAAACTCCAGGATCAAGCCACTGTAGCGGACCTCTCGGATGTACAATATAAGAAGCGCTTCCAATAAAATCTCCACCATCAGCTATCAAAATTGCATTTTCTGGTAAAACCTGTAAAATACAAATCAACAATGTAAAAATTAAAGAACTATAACATCCTACAGAGAACAAAATTGAATAAAACAACGGTACATAACTCAAAATGACTAACTTTATTGATTAAGGATAGCACAAAAAGAGGGTTAATTCCATCTTTTACAAATGCCTCCTTCATTTTTAACAAATTTTCTGTATTTTTTTCTTTTTCTTTCTTCATCAGATATAATACCCATTCTTGTATCAACAAAACATGCTGAAAAAAATTTTTTTCCATTACATACTGCTAACTAATCATGAAGTAGCAATTTTTAGCAAAAAATGTTGTAATGAAATTTTACTAATCTGCTATGTTGTGACCTTAACGAGACAAGACAACATTTATTTCAAAAACGATAACTTAGTTATGATCAAAACATACTGTTAATTGTACAGAAATAAATCAGGAAAATGGTTTGAGACATGATTGTATGAGGCATTAAAACTTACAGTTAAGCAAAAAAAGAAAAGTGGTACTTCATGATTAGTTGAAATCAAATAATCTGCAAGGTTGACTAAGGTTGTCGCAACATCTGCCTGGATCGCTAAATTAACTCGCCAGAATATGCCTTCATTTTTTAACATTTGAGTTCGATCACGATTTACTGAAACGACATTAGCGTTCGGTGAAAGAACACGCCCGTATGAAAGACGGAAATCGCATACTGCGCCTGAAATAATTTTAGTGTTATGTAACTACTGGATACTTTTAGAGGTTAACTGTGTAAACTAATTCGGTTCAAAAAATAAGAATGAAGCACCCGCAAGAATAATTAAGTCGGCTTCCTTGAGGGTATCTTTTCTGTTGTAGCGCATATGAATAGGATTTCGCTGCCCTAGTAATCCACGAGACATGCCAGTTAAGAATGTCGGGATACCGATTGCCTGCAATATTGGCTACGGACTGGCATATATATATTTCAAACAAAATTCCGATAACTGATTGCTCTATAAATAAAAATCAGTGACATCCCATTAGCCTTAAATGCATTGAGGGAATAAGTCGAACATACCTTTACTGCTTTCTTTAACTCATATACACTAACGGGAGCCAAAACAGCTTGACTACCAATAATCAGTACTGGCTTCTTTGATTTCAGCACCATATGCATCAGCTTTATGATATCATTATCCTTTGGGAATGTTATTCTGGCCGGTATTGGTAGCATGCTTTCTCTTATAACCCAGCCACCACTGAACTGTCGAGAAATGTATGCTAAGAGGTATGAGTTGATGACTGTCTGGAACAAATTTGTATTTAATCGAAGAAATAACACAAAGCTTTACAAAATGTAACAAAGGATCGATCTCCTAAACGAAAATCTACGGAGACATTCTAGAACAAATAACTATTAGTACTTTTTTTCGCATTATCATTATTTCGCTAGCAAAATTGTTTTAACGCTAAAACTAGATAAAAACTTCAATTTTTCCCAAATTTCGTACATTCGAGTATTACAAAAAACAATGTATAATGAAGAGCTTTTTGACTAATTTTGAAAATTTGCGTAAATAATTCCAAAAAATGCATCAACAGATAGATTTCTACTTGTTTGAAATTTCTGGCTTCAGCAATATTCATTTCCTTCAGTACCATCTTATACGAATATAATACATCGATGGGTATCTCCACAAAAACCGGACCAGGTGTATCACTTTGTGCGATATGCATGGCTTTTTTGAGAACTGTTATAATATTCCTTATACATGTTATTCGAGCAACATATTTACATAATGGTCGCATTAATGAAATTTGATCAATATCCTTAAAATTAAATACTTAAGCATTTTTTGAATTTCGTTATTCATAATGTTAAATCACCAAAAAAAGATGCAACTTGTTTGTGACAACATAAGCCTATTTTAGGATGTTTATGTATAATCGGTCCTAATTTAGAGGGTCACATTCACTTAAAGACTTTTTCTACATAAATGGATTATGCGGTTTTAAGTAAATTAGTTATAACCTGTAGAGCGCCACGGTTTCTCGATAAAATTGGTGCTGCACCAGCGATAATGACAACAGCTGTTTCCGCCAACTGTGCATTTTTCACAGCAGTAATCGTGTTTGTTAAACCTGAATTGGAGCAATTTGAGTAGAAGAGTACGAAAAGCAGTTAAACAACGAATTTATACTGTTAGACTCTTCTGCCACTAAATGTATTAACGTCAATAAACCATTCATTTTAATTCAATCGACCTCCATTATCACGTTTCAAAACAAATCAATCCCATTACATTGCTTATTCAAGTAGGACTAATACATATAAATTAGTATATGGTATTCCTTATTTACAAAAACTGCCATCGAGTGATATAGCTATTTCAAACTACAGGTTAGAAAAAATTCTTGGGACACCTCTCTTACCTGGTCCTGCAGTAACAACCGCCACGCCAATACTCTGACGCAAACGTGCAACAGCGTCTGCTGCAAACACGGCGTTAACTTCATGACGTGTATCGTACACCCGGATGCCAATATTTTTTGCAGCAACTAAGATCGGTGATATATGTCCGCCACATAATGTAAATATTTCGTTTATATTATGTGCCTAGAAGAATATGTAACATGCTAACTTTTGGAAACAATTATCATTGAAGATATCAATTTATCAGTGATTAAAAGATATGATTTCGGTCTACATGCTAATACATCTGATCTTTTAATATACTATATTTCGAAAATTTCGACATAAGAAATAAAATCGTTAGAAGTGAATGCAAAAAGAGACAATACCATAGCGGTACATATACTTCTCAAAAAGAGACAATAAGATAAACTGCTTCTCCCAAATAAATTATATCACACGAAAATTAATCTTACCTTTAATACTGCAGCAACTAATTCGCCACCATGATGATCCGATTCCTCATCAACCTGAGTAAGCAAATACTATATATGCCACTGTGCATACAGTTAAAAACCTTTTACTCAGCTTTTATGATTATGACTGGGTAAATAATTATACGGAATTTGTTATCCAGTAATTAAATAATTTCATCTGCTTTTATCCGTTCCCTTCATCTCCTTTTACCACAATTATTAATTTCCATATAAATTTGTAACCTGGAAAAGTTCCAATATCCAATGTGATCGCTTGCGTGTGTACAAATCCAATAAAATTTGATGGAAAGTTTGAATGCTATCAATACCAAAGATTTTCATCAGCCATAAAAGGAAACCAATAAAAACGAACAAAATCCCCGACAATAAACACATCTGTTATCTCCTAACCTACTTCTCGATCCTGAAAATAGCCAATAACTGGGAAGAGTAGCAAATCCAAGATTCCTTTTAGAGAAAAGAAAAGTAAGATCTTACACCGGGGCGGCGGACAAAACCAAGATCGATGCATTATTTCAATACTTGTGGCATGCAATGAATGTGCAACAATGATTTAGATAGGGTCGCATTATTTGGTGTTTTTGGAAATATCGGGATAATATAAGGTGTAAATGTCGTTGTTGCTTATTGATTTACACACACAGTAATAATTAATCAACCACTACGGCAGTATGACAAAGAATAAATTTATAGCGGAAGGAATTGTGTAGCAGCAAAAACCACCGCACGGTGCTGGTGAGCAGCAAATTATGTGAAGTGATTTCATTTTTTTAACTTTTTATAATCAAATCCAGATAGCATTTCCGACTAGCATAGGAAAAATTTAATCAATTATTTTCAATTAAAACAATGAAAAAGACGATGAGAAAAATGATCATGGAATTTGAAAAAAAAAAAAATCCTCGGGATTATTCACGAGTTTCAGTATATACATTTATTGATTAGTGAATTTACCGCACTTAGTTACTCAGTTGGAATTTAATGAAATATGAGAATTGTGAAACTTTTAAATGAAACCAAATTTCAGCGGGACGAAAAAACATATCAGTGAAAAATTCTCAAAATAGAAAGTTTTAAACTTGAATAATAAACTCCTAATGTTTGTCCTGAAAGTAATGAAATGTAATTGTAGTTTTTTTTCTAACATTTTATTCCTAAAACAAGATTTTCGAATAGGATTAACATTTAGCTTTTAATTGTATCTAAGTTTATTCTTTGCTTCAACTTGGAGAGTAAACTAATGTGTTAGCGATGACTTATTACGATCCGATTTTCTAGTTTCATCTTATGTCTTTTATTTTATCTCACTTCAGTTAATACTTCCATTGTACACGTTACCATGGTTATAAAGAAAAAAAAAAGAAAACTTTACTTACCTTGGATACTTACCGAACTGAACATTTTCATGCATTTAAGATTTCCTAATATCGATGCATATTTCATCGCTTCCCACCTATTCCATTATTTAAATATGCTAGTTCTTTCATCGCACTTAAATTTCATAATGTATTTTTTACAAATATTACTCCATATTTTATCAAAAAAAAGAAAAAAAAAATGGAAGCAGATAATTTAGACGAAATATTTTGATATTCAAAATAAAGTAATGTGGAAATATAATTTCGGATTATATAAGAAATATGGAATGGAGAGAGAAAGAATGTGAAAAAAGATGCATTGTGGAACTAATAAATATAAAACGAACAACTGCACTGTAATTTGTCTATTGTCCACTTTTATTTATTTATTTATCTACTTATTTATGTTTTGTTTTTATTTCTTGTTTAATTTTTCATTTCATTTTATTTCATTTCGGTTTATTTAATTAATTATTTATGCATTATTTATTATTATTATTATTTTAATTATTATTAACTCATTACCAATTTTATGTGTATATAAGTATACTATAAAAATAAGTATGTAATATAATACACATACATTCAACTATATATAAAATGAATGGACAAACAAAATGTATTAGTATATGTACAAGTAATTTATATATAGTTGAATTGATGAAAGATAATGAAATAAACATTAGCGATACGATGACAGTTCCACTTCAACACTGTATTGTTACTTTCAGTTACTGAAAGAAAACATTGTCACATCTTCACATAGAAAGAGAGAGGTTTCAATCTCGGTAAAATGATTGTATCCCTCTAACTCTTCCTGTTTCTCCTCTTTTTTTCTCTCTTTCCTTCTCTTTCTCTCTCTCGCTCGTTACGTTACGCCATGTAATGCATTTTTTTTCTTTAATTAGCTAATTTAACTCTTAATACACTTTTTTCCGTTGTTTTTGTTTAATCAAATCATATGATATGACATTTCAATAACTAATCGTATGCATGTATTAGGTAAATATTTATAAATGATATTAGTGATATGAAATATTTATTATTAATAATACATGATTATATTTTGCAGTAATAAGATAAACTATATATAATAATAATATAAACAATAATATAAACTGTTTCATATATTCTTACAGCTTGATAATATACAAGCAAAAGATTTTTCCCTTTGGTTTTCGTTGAGTGTAATAAAGTTTAAAGGATTAAAAAAAAAAAGGAAAATCCAGAGCTGTTAGGAATACTTTAGATTCTGTTAATCTCATCGTAAGCTTATTTGAATCGATACTTCTGATTTATCGCTCTACTGTAAGAGATTGTTTTTCTGTTTCTTTTTTTTTTTTTTTTTTTTTTTTTTTTTGTTTTTCGAATAGCATTTATTAAATTTAATAAATTTTTTGAGTGTGAATTAAGTTTTAATTATGAGCAAGTTTTGAAGCTAAGAATTAATTTAAATGAAATAAAATTTTTGAAAAAAAATGACAAAGATTGGATAAGCATTAGAGCAAATTGAATTTTTAAAAAATGAAAAAAAAAAGAATGAAAAATGTGGGCAGTTTAAAGAGAAATGCTGAAGAATCAGTTTGATAGAAAGGGAAAGAAAAAGGAAAAAAAAAAAGAAAGAAAAAGAAAATTGTGCTGTAGTGTATTTACAGGTTTTGTTTTCGTATCATTATATCTTAATTAAAAATTGATCGTAAAATCTATGTAGGCAACTGATTAATTTCTCACTACATTTTTGCATAAAGCTTTAATTGCTTAGCAACAGGTGTGTATGAAATTTATTTTATTGAATGTCCACTATTTTATTTAATCTAGAATTTAGCAACTAATATGCATTAAAAATTCAATCTAATGTATGTTTATCATTTAACAAGAATATATATCATAATGTGAAAAGTTTTATTTTTTAAGAAATATCAAACAGGTCTTTAAAATTTTATCACATAAATAGTTCAACTAATGATATAATTTAACAATTGACATTTGTGCGTATCTTCTGCTACCATCAATTTAAACCAGTTAATTAATCTTCCAAATGGAAGAAAGACAAATGTGAAACTAACTATTAGAACTTCCAGTATAATGCAGTTTCAAGAAGAAAACTTATGATATTTTCATGGTGTATCAGTAGTACAAAATGCATGAAATCCACTTTGCTATTCATGTTTAGAGTAGCGATAATTTTGTTGATTATAATTTAATGGGAATATGAGGGTAATGGCATTATTTCAATTATTCTATTAAAGAATAACATCAAGAATGTTATATTCATTGATGTTAATCGAAAATCAATTTCAGGCCTGGCCTTTTTTTAATTGTAAATATAGACGCGTTATTTGATCGTTATTTGATCGATCTAAATATAGATGTGTTAAAATTTTGAAGTGTTAAAAAGGAATGTATTATGCAATCATTTTTAATGCTAACAGATTTAATGGATATTGATGGGCAATGGAAAGTGTGTAATAGGCATGAACAATACAAATTCATTTCCGCTGTGGTCACTACAGAGTGTCCGACTTCGTATTATTATTATTCTTGCAATTGCACTTTGTATCGAAGGTTTGATGCGCACAAATATGAATATGGCAATGATATGTATGGTGAATTTAACTGCTGTTATGCAGTTTAAACAATCATTTGTTGGTAAATTTTATTATACTTAATGTAAAAATATTAGTTAAATTTAACAAATGCTATTTTACTAGCATATTATTGAAATTATTACTTTGTTATATTATTTAATTTGTTGCTTTATAGATTAGCTCATATTAGCTATTATTGTTAATTCCAATTGAATGCTACTAATATCACTTGTAACAATACTTATTTTATCGTTATGCTACTGATGATAATTTATAAAGGAATTTGTTATTAACAGTTATTCATTGTTAAAAACTGAGTGAAACTAACAATGTTTATAAGTCACATAAGGATTGTTAAAATTGTAGAATTTTTCTTTTTTTTTTAGCTCAAAAATTGGAGGAACCGCTACTGAAATATAATTATACCATTTTATCAAATTCATCTGTCAAAGTATTTGAATATAATCGAAATTATGTAAGTTTGTTGCCTTTAATAGGTGATATAAATTTGATTGGTGTTCATTCATATTCATTCTGTTTACTGAAGAATGTTCTGAATTGCAGCATCAGTTAGAAGAAGGATGGAATGTTTATTTATTGTTTTTCGTTTTTTGAGGGAAGAGATAGCACGTTATTAGTTTTTGCAGAGTTCCTTGATAATGTTCATTTCAGAATGGTGATTTACTGTGGACAGGTCAAGAACAAGCATGGGTTTTTGCTGCATTTTACGTTGGTAGTTTACTTGTTGTGTTTCCAGGAAGTAAGTATTGATTTAAAAATTTTTTATGATGAAAAATGAAAAAAAAAAAAAAAAAAAAACGAACTGAAAGAATCTGTAGCTGATGAAGTAGGAAGCACACTCATCATAATGGAATGTTTTATTGAATGATCTTGCAGCTCTCTTGATCAAACTGTAAAAATTTATTTTAACACATTTTAGGCTATCTGTGTGATTGGATAGGTCCAACTTATACTGTACAAGGTGGAGCGATTATTAATGTTATTGGTTCAATAACAACTCCATATATTTCACGTAATGTTGGTGTTATCGGCGTAATTATCATACGGTTTCTGATGGGTTTTGGTCAAGGTATATTGACGCCATGCATGAATGTACTTATTGCTCATTGGTTTCCGTTATCGGAAAAAAGTACAGCGGTTGCTCTAGCAACTACTGGCAATCAGGTATCTTTTTCATTACTCTTGGAATGTGTTTATAATTTAAAAAATAAGTTTTTTTTTTTTTTTTAATTTTCTAGTCATTTGCTATATTTTTAAAAGTCAATCGATCATATGAATTTACATATTATGAAATTTTTATTCTCAAATTTTTTAGAATGCAAAATTTCTTTCAGTTATCTATAATTTTTGCAATGTTCATCACAGCCGAACTTTGTCAGATGTCACTTTTTGGTGGCTGGCCAGCTTCATTTTATCTCTACAGTGAGCTGCTTAAGTGTTTTTTTTTTCTAACTATCGTTATTCATATATTTCATGACAAAACTTGAGACTTAAAAGACTCTTCCTGAGATTTATACGCTAAGTATTTTATTTGCTATACGGATATTCATTTGCCCAAAATTCATGATTGATAATTTCGAGAAAAACATTCATTTTCATGCGAATCAAATTTTATCATATATTATAGTTTTTAGGCTTATTAGGTATTGGTTTATGTTTTGGTTGGTCTCTGGTTGTAAAAGATGTACCAACTCGTGTAAAGCATATCACAGATGCTGAATTGACTTACATCACTGGTTCCGCATATGGACGCGGTCAGAAGCGCGTAATTCCTCTGGTCAGTGTTTATAGTTTAATAAAATGTAACAGAAATTTAATTATAAAATTAGTGGGAGATGTAATATTTATTTGCACTTTATAACTTTTATAAATTCAGAATTTTTCATGTTAATATTTAGCAGAATATTTCAGAATGTCCCATGGCAAAAAATATTATCGTCAACTGCAGTCTGGTCTACAGCATTAAGTTCATTTTGTCATTCATTTGTAGTTGTTGGTACCGTGACATACTTACCTCTCTATTATCGAACTATACTTAGTATGGGTCTCACTTCTGTAAGTAACATCTGTTATTATATTAGAATTGATGATTACTTCAACTTTTTCTTTTACATTATTTACAGCGTTTTATTTCAAATTAAATCAAATGTTAAAATAGCTATGAAATGGTGCTAATTTCGACTGAAATCAGCTTACGTAAATTTAAACTTTTGACAAATGAAACTCTGTCTGTCTTCTCTTCTTTATTATTTATTTATATAATTGTAACATTTACTATGAAATGTGTTATATTGTCACAGAATTTATCAAAGCATAATATCTCATTTAAAAGTAACAGTAGTTCAGAGATTTAGAAACTTTGTAACATTATCATATGCTAGTATCAATCGGTATTAAATACGCCTGTTTTTCAGGTAGATTTAAGGGAATGATTTAACAGTAAACATCCTGAATACATTTCAGATTGCTTAGCATCCGATGTGTTGTTCATCATGTCTTGATGCTACTTAGGTCATATTACATTAAATGATTAGACAGTGTTGGTTTAACCTCTTAATTTTATTTGTACATATTTCAGAACGGTGTACTTTCGGCACTGCCTTTCATTTGTCAGTTACTAAGTAAATTAGCATTTGCTGGTCTTGCAGACAAAGCGAAGGAAATTGGTTTTTCACCAAATCAAGTTACAAAGATATGCAATTCATGCGGCAAGTTTTGTTTTTTTTTTTTTTTTTTTTTCAATTATATAATGGTATGTATGAAGATTATTTGAGGTTAATTTTCGATTTTGATTTGATTTCATTTAACTGAAATTTATAAAGTTTTCTTAGATTCATATGATTTTATAGCTTTTTTTTACAGCATCACTTGGTGGTGCATGCTGCTTTACTGCACTAATATTTTTTGACTACAGTCATCGAAAAAAGGCTGTATTTTTCATGTGTTTTGCAATGGGTATTTTATCTGGTTTTGTTCTAGGATACAATACCAGGTTTTTTTTGTACTATTCTAAAAATTTCAACCATCATGAAATAGAAGAATTTTTCGGAGACATTTCGAAAATTTTCATGAAAACAATACTATTAGGATTTTATTGAAAAAGGAAAATTTGTTATGACAGTTCAGCAAGATTTTTAAAAAAATCAGATTTAAAAATAAACAAACTTAAAGTAAAGTAATTTTTTATAGTCAATATTTCATAGCTAATATTTTAATGTAATTGGTATAATCTCAACAAATGAAGTAAATATTTGCAGTATTGTATGTATTGCTCCAAAGTATACATCATCAGTGGCTTCATTCTGTAGGCTTTGGGGAACAGTTGGTTCCATCACCTCACCTTATATCATTGGAATGATCACCATAAAGGTTTTACTACATTATAATATATTTTTTTAGGCAACTCAACCTTAGTGTATTCCTGTAGAAAGCATTAAGTTAGGTTTAAGATTCTTTCACATTTCAACTTCCTGTAGTATACATTTCAGGACAACGGAAAGTTCTCATGTATGCTTGCAGTAGCAACTAAGTCGCTAAGAATAGGAGCTGTCCTAACGAAAACGGAAATTCATATAAGTCAAACAAATCAGTTTGTTAGATGTAGGTGAATATTAATACTTTCTAGAGCACTAAAAAGTTTTTGTTTTCGCCCATAATATCGGATAGGGTATTAAACAGCGTTATAAGAATTGAAGCTTCTATAGAACAGAAGGGTTACTTGTTTACTTTTAAACATTTTACTCATAATTTTAGAGTGTTATGTCAGAATGGAAGACTGTTTTCATAATTATGATATGCATACTAATATTGACTGGCGCAATTTTCCAGTTATTTGGTACAGGCAAGCGATTTTTTTTTTTTTTTTTTCAATTTCATTTCTTATATCTATTTGTAATTTTTTTTTTTTTCATAATTTCACTTCATTCTGTTCAATTTTAGTGAAATACTTTCAAATTTGAACTTTATGATACATAATTTTCTAGTGCTACGAAATCTTTTTCAGTAAACGAACAGGAATGGGCGCAAGATGTATCTGGTATCTCAGTTCTAAATTATGTTAAGCCATTGAGTGAGAAAGAAATGGACAAGACACCAAAACTAGAGTTAGAAAAAGGTGTTTAAAGGAGGCAAGAGAGAGTTTGGATGAAGCGGTGGTGGATAGGATCAAGTATTATTATTATTATTGGCACACCTTAAAATTAACTGAATTAATCTTTACAGAGCTTCAGATACATTTATAGGATTTGAAATTTGCGAAATTTTTTGACAAATATTTCTTGTTTTATTAGATTGGTACAAAACGAAATACGGTTTGCATACTGCTATTTGTTTTATATTAGAATGTATTCATAGAAAAATGCAGTTACATCATATTTAATGCTCTTTTTTTTTTTGCTTCACGGTCTTTGTTTTACTAGCATTATTGTTATTAATTATTACATGTTAGATTTTGTTTAGGAGAATGGTGTTAAACAAAGAGAGTAAATTTGAATATTTTTTCTTTTAAATTCGAAATGAATCGTAGAGGGAACTGGCAATATCAATGACGTTTTTTCTTTTTTTTTTTTTTTTTTTTTTTTTTTTTTGACTGAGAAATGCATTGTGAATCAGATGGTTATGAAAGAAATGAGTCTGTTATCAAAAGTTATTGGATGATCAAATGAGAACAATTATTCCTTATAATTATATGACAATTTAAATAGCTTAAACTAATTATGAACCATTCCAGAGCAATTTAACATTTGCTACAAATGGGCAAAATAAAATCTGGTAAGTAATGATAAAAATAAAAAAAACGAATCTCGTTTTCTGGTTGATAATTGAAAAAGCTGTTTGAAATTTCTTCTTTTATACTACATCTACAACGAATTATTTCTGATAATTTTGACAACAAATACTTAGACGGTTTAACCATTTTAGTTAATTGTTATCATAAATTATAGGTTTTTGAATTCTGGCAAAACTCAGTAAATTGGTAAAATTTAGCAAAAATTGGGATACAAGTTATCAAATGATCGACAGGAAAGACCTAATTCAATGACGGCAATTTCTCACTGCTCATCATAAAATCAGTGCTTTAGAAGTTGAATGAAATTAAACTACGAAATTTTACTTTATGTGTTATATGTGCTCAACTTCCATCAATCAGTTATCACTTCTTCACTTATTCTAATGATTTCGTGAAGGAAAAATGAGTTTCCCAAAAGTTTATCAAATTCTAACGGATGGGTTTTTTATTTTTTTTAATGTTACACGTATCAACAAAGTGATCTTCGTTTGGTGACACAGCCATACATATATATCAATTATTGCAGTTTTTGCAATGAGGTATATTTGAACTGGAGTGTATTAAAATTTATCGTCTGAAATCATATAGTTTAGGATATCGAGGAATTGCGTAGCCTTTTCAAAAAAAAGAAAATGGTTAATTTGGTAAATATTCTTGAACCAATGATTACCTTGGATCTAGTTAATTGTTTAATTTCAGTATTTAAATGAGTACTGATAGATGAAAAAGCATGTTGAACCTGGCTCTATTTTATCACTTTGTTAATTTTAGACTTGAGGAGATATTATTAAATATGTCATTGCTATAGTCTTGTACTATTTATCATTTGATGATCTATTAGTAAAAAATTTTTTTTTCTGCCTTTTCAAAATTTCACAAAAAAAGCTTTTATTTATATGCATCAGATGATGTGTAACAACAAATCAGTTTTTTTTTTTTTTCAATTTTTTTTAAATAAGTAATATCTCTGTAGAACAAATTCTTATTAGAAAATGCTTTGGAGAATTTGGAAATTTAGTATAGATTCGTTAACAATTTAGTAAATTTAACAATGGGAAGCATAAATCCGAAATTTTCGAACAATTAAAAATTTATCTATTACTGAAAATTACCATGATTATTGAAACGCTGAGTTAAAGTAAAGTGTACATTATCAATTGGTTTCTTTTATAGCAAATAAATTAGAATTAATTTCAACTTTTTATAGCATAAGTAAAATGAATGACGAAAGATTACATCGATGATTATACTTTGTATTCATGCAAAAAATTTTCAAACCTTCTTGTTTGAACTTACAAAAACAATTTCCTAAAGTTTCTTTCACTAAATTGAAAATTTGTTTCCAAAAAAAAAAAAATCAAAGTACATTATCAATTGGTTTCTTTTATAGCAAATAAATTTATTAAATTCATAATTTTTTGAAATATACAATATTTTATAACTTAATAGATTTTAATATAAATCAAAACTCTAAGTTCTTTCCTAAAATAACCAAAAAAGCAAAAAAAAAAGTAACGTTTTAAATTTCACAATGTGTAAACAATGCAACAAATTTTTGGTGTATGACAAGAAAAAATATAATTTTAAAATTATTCGTTGACAGAAGATACCGGGAATTGTGGCGAAGTCAAATATGTCATTCCTTTGGGAAATTTGCTCCTGCTTTAACAGGAAAAAAAGTGAAATAAAACGGATGAACACACTTGATTTCAAATATGTGTATGCGTGTGCATGTATGCATATGTGTGTATGCATGTGTCTGTATGTGTGTATGTATAATGTATGTATGTATAAAAATATATACATATATGGATGTGTATATGTGGTTGGCAAATAAATGTGTATGTTTGTATTTGGCATACTTTTTAATCCCAAATAATTTTTTTTTTTTGTTTTGAACTTCCCAAAAAATTCAATTCGCTTGTGAACAATTTACTAAATTAACTTTTGTTGAATTTATTTGTTACTATTTATTTCCGTTTCAATTTTCATTATTTCTATTGTGGTGATGAAGTGATCAGAAAATTTTATGGTAAAGTGACGAAATTTAAAGTGATTTCAATTTATCTAGATTCAATTGATCTATCCAGTCTAATCTAGACTACATCATAAAATTTGTTAAATTTATTAGTAATATGATGCTTATTATTTGCTTTTTTCCTCACTTTTTTAACGTCAAAATTATTTCTTCTTTTTTCTTCTCTTCCTTTTTCATTTTTTTTTCTTTCTTTTTTTCTTTTTTTTTTTTTTTTTTTGAAACTACTTTTCTGAAAAAAACTTTGACAGATAGTCATTGGCTCAATCGATCCACATCAAAGCAGCTTTTTCTTTTTAAGCTAAGCTTTTCCTGTTTTCAAACATTCTCGTATTCCTCAAAATAATAAGGTTTTTTTTTTTTGAAAAATAAAAGTATTATAACAAAAAACGAAGAAAAAAGAGCTCTAACAGCAGAATGATAAATTACAATTCATTCTTTCTTTCCTTTCCTTCATCGCTTTATTTGTTTAGTTTGAAATGAATTTCAAATTAGTGAATTATTCTATAATTCAATAAATATATATTATCGGATGAAAGAATTGAAACAAGTAGTATAACAAAATATATGTTACCGAATGAAAAAATTGAAACAAATAGCAATACAATCATTCAATTTATTAAATTTCTTTCTTTTTTTTTTTTTTTTTTTTTTTGATAAATGCTTATTTATTTATCTTTTAAAAATTATAAACAATGTTATTTATTTATTTTTTGAAAATTTTGAAACAATGATTGTTTCTGTTGTTTTTTAAAATTACAATAATTTATATAATAATTTTTAATTTGTGTAATAATTTTAGGTGTCCTTCCACCACAACAAAAAAAAAAAAAAAGAAATAATAAAAAATAAAAAAAAAAAGCAAGGAAATATGTTCGGCTAATTGTAATTAATAAATATTGCGGCAAAAAAAATGGTAAATTATTTGGAGCGTGCTCGAGCATTAGCTGAATATTCACCTTTACCATATACCAATATAGCATCATCACAACAATGTAAACCTAAGAAAATTTCAAAGGTTAACTTTATTGGTAAGTTAAATGTTTGCATATACATTCATTTCTATCCCATAATATATAACTTTCCATTTATAAATGATAAAATTGAATTGAATAGTAAGCAGTAAATGTGACAAATAATTTGAAAAAAAAAATTGCAAGAAAAGTAAGTTTTTTTCGAAAACAAAATTTTTTTTTTATTTTAACATTTTAATAATTAAATTAGTCAAAATAAAAATGTTTATTTGAAAATTTTACCTAAATAGAAATAAACGAATAAAACAATTTTTCGAAGCAAATCGATTTATAAAATGAGTGCTACTAATTCTTATAATGAAATTTGAATTGATATTTTGGACAGCAAAGCTTTTAAATCTTGTGTAGTAGAGCAACTTTATTTGAATTTTTATTTCTTTTTTTTATTTTAAAATCTTACGAAAATTGAGTATAATTGTTTTATTTGCTGATTTTTTAGTTAATAAACTCTTTTTTTGATAGAAAAAAGAATTTTTGCTAGACAAATTTTGATAAATTTTTTGATAAATAAATCTCTTATTTCAAATCTTATTATTATATTGACTTGTTTTATCAGTTAATCCGCAACGAGAAAGTACAATTGGATATGAACGAGTAGAAGATGTTATTCAAGAAGACAATAATTGCATGAAACATAAAGTTAAATTCATCAATGCATCGGCGCAATTGTCGCAAATTCGTTGCTGTTGCAATCTTATGCATACTGTGGTAGGTATTTTCCTTTTCTATCACTAGATGCTGTTCTATTCTTTTTCGTGCTTTGAAAATTTAGAATCATTGCTTTGATTTAATTATTTTCTGTAAATTAATACTTCTAACTCTTAAGATATTTTAATTGATTAATTATTTGCAGGTAAATGCTATATTTTTGAACATTTCCGCTCTTATTCAAAATACTAGTAAAAATAATCATGCATTTTAAAATCAAAGTTTAGAAAACAAATTTTACTTTTATGAGATTCTTGTTCTTCACTTTATTCATATCTAGATTTAACTAAATATTTAATCTGGTAAATACAAACTTTACTATTAACCTCTTATTATTTTTGTTTTTTTTTTTTTTTTTTTTTCAATTTTTGATAATTGTACATGAGTTTAATTAGCGCAATATATAGCATTTTCTCTTCTATTTGAATTTAATTTTTGAAATTGTAAAGTGTTTTTTCATACTGGTACCAAGTTATTTCTATTAACTTATGTGGCCTTATCAGTTATCATTTTTACATTTGCGATGAAATCAGCTATAATTTGGTCTGTGATACCATTTATAGTTGCTTCATTAAGTATTTATGCATTATACACGGAAAAACATAAATATTTATATCCATTTTTGATTATATCGGTTTGTTTTAATTATAATTTTTCTTTTTCTTTTCCTTCAATGTATTAAATTTTATAAAAATTTTATGGGATAGTTTTATTATTAAAAAAGAAAAACATGAATTAAGTAAGAAGAAATTTGCTTTAATAACTGATTTCATTTCTGATATAATATCATTAATTTCAGAGTGCTCATATAATACTTTGTATTGTGATTGTAATTGTAATAATTACATTTACAGCTGCCAATTATGGTACTTTTAGGCAAATTGTTGGTAAGAATTAATCAGATTAGAAATTTTATCAAAAAATTTTCTGAAGTATTTCTTTTTCCTATCAATCATAATATTATTATAATATATATTGTTGATAAATAATAATTTTTTAAAATGATTTTGTTCAAAATAAATTATGAAATGTCATTTATATAACCATATCAAATATATGCTATCATTTATTGCATTAAATTTTAATAACTTTAACATATATTTTTTTAAAGCATAATTTTATATCTTTTCAAAAATATCAAATATGTGATGCTAAAAATTGAATTAATAAAAATTAAAATTTTTGCAGGATATTATATGAAAATACGACTTAGTGATACATTTATCGTGATATTCGTTATCACATCTGTCATCTTATTCCTTATTTTGTCCATCATGCATTTATGGCAATTAAATGTTGTTTATAGGTAAATTTTAAATGATATGATAAAAATGTTAATCATTCTTTGCTTATTAAACGAGGTCCATTGGAGGTGCACTTGAAAGGTGTTTAAAAGGTACATTTGAGAATAAAACAATAACTTTTTTTTTTCACAACTTCATCATTTTGCTGTGTCATTTTATTTTCAAGATATCATCATTGAGATAAATTTCCATCGTGTCATATGCTAAAATATCATTTGTTTAAATATGAAAATTTCACTCATTCTTATCTCAAAAATTAAACAGCAAAAACTAAGTTATCTAAGTTATATAATTGAAACTAAGACAGGTAAATTTTTGGTAATTAATAATCTGTCCAATTATTAAAAATCATTTCATTAATTTACATAAGTCGTACATGAATTATATCATTCTTATAAATTTTTATTAAATTAAAAAAATGATTTTTTATAATTATTGTATTGTTATAAAATTATAGTTGTATGATCTATTTCGAACAAAAGCGCTGCCTGGAGCGTGAACAATGCCATCCGATGATTGTAAAATACAGTTGTTCAAATGGAAAAGAAGATGGACATCACAATCATTTTATTACTAATCATAAGTGTTATGAAAGTTGTGCTGCCGTATAATAATAATTAATTATTGAGATAGAAATAACAGTAATAATAACATTATTTTTAAAAAAAGCGATAGATTGAAAATTTATTGCATCATCTATTTCAGATTCTATTATGAATTCGTAGTTTGAATAATAATTTGAACAAAAATGAAAAATCGAAAAAATCTGATAGACTTTATAAACAATATTCTTTGCTTAATAATAATAACGACAACAATAATTATTTTATTAAAATATGTAAAATTGTGTGTAATTAACCTATATAAGCAATGGTGTAATTAATTGTAATTAATTTATGTAAAATTATTTTTTTTTAAATTTTAAATTTTGTAATTGGTTGTGGAACTTTTCAATATATCATGTACCTCTTTATTAGGTACCTTTAATCTATCCTTTAATTTTTTTAATGTAATCATACAAATTACATTTTCGAAATTATTCTTAATCTTTCTACCAATTCAATTTTCATCGAAATGAATGGATAGAAATTTAAAAATCTTATTTGTCGTTTTTAATTTATGTTTATTGCATTTGTCCTTCTCAGGTAGATAATTTTGCTATTATAAAAAAATTTCAAATATTTGCATTTTCAATTTCAATCATTTTTCATTTGCATGAAATTTATTGACTAGCTGCATATGATTTTGTATGTATTTTTCCCAGATATTTTGTCATATCTTCTAGTAATTTCAAGTTTCACAGATTAATATTTCAAGATGAAATTTCAAAAATTCAGTTTTTCCTCGATTAAGCCCGAGAATTCTTTATGACATCCCAGACTAATTTAAAAAAAAAAAAAAAAATCAGGATAAGACTATGTTAATTGAAATACGACTTATTAAATAGCTTAATAGTTTAACTGGATCATTTATCATTTTTATCTTTTATCTTTATCTGTCAACTCTAAATGCTATCCTAGCGTAAAATTGATGAGTGCTGGCATTAAATGAAAGTTGAAATTAAATCTCCTAACTTAGTGAGATTTCAATGGTAAATGAAGTCTTTAATGAAATGGTTTGAAACAAAAAATTTTTAAACTTAAACTGTATATATTTATTAAATCAAGAAGTATTTTTCTTCAAAAAAAAAAAAAATCTATCCATTGTTATTTCTATTTACAGTGATAATGTCACACCTGTACGAATAATATTTCTTGCCATTAGCTAATGTTACAATAACATTTTACCCATGAAAAATCTAAAATAGTAGAACCGTTTTGTTATGAGAACAATGATTAATAAAATTAACCTTATTGAAGTAAATCATTTGAAATAGTATAATTGTGATCTCTACAATAAATTTTAGTTTGACACATAGAATTATTTAAGTTAAAAAATAATGCAATTTGAATTTTAATTTAAGATAGGTAAGTTTTCATATGAAGGAATTTGAATTAAAAACGAAGCTCAATTACTGTAAAAGTTTTTTTTTTGATGTAAGTGAAGTAAAATCATTCATCTCACTGCTATAATTATTATTACCATTATCATTTTCATTATTAGTACTATTTATTATTATTATTATTATCTATTAATTGCTATTATTATAGTTGTCATTACCGTTATTGCTATTATTATTAAATATTATTTTACTTCATGTGACACTGATGTTATTTCAATAACAAGTATGAATTTAAATGTGCGCTGACTATCATAATCTTCCGCTGTAATTGTTCAATTTTCTTTTTGAGTTTAATTTGAATCTACACAAAAAAATTGATTGCTTGATATGAGAATTAAACTAAAATTTTCAAGACTTTATGCAATTTCAATTTAAAGAAGAGGAAATATTATCGATACTGAACTATTTTCTAGGTTGTCCATATATATGTATATATTTTCAAAACAAAAATCCGGAAAGTTTATTGATTAGACCACTCAAATAATTTTTTTTTTTTTTGTAACTTAAATTGAAAGGGAAATTGTTTTTATTCTTTCATACGTTTTTGACAAACGGATGAATTATTCCATTTTTCGTTTTCATTAGACACCACAGGAACCTTGGCGCTTTACGGATGCAACTTCCTATCTCCAGCTAAACCGGATGTTTCCGAATTCATTTGCGTTCCGTGCTAAATCCTCACAGTGACCATTTATCTCCGTATCCAGGTACAACGAGAATATTAACCTCTCTCTCTTTTGATTTATCAGATACATTACACCTCCATTCCTCTATTTTATTTAACAAACGGCACTAGCCAATATCTTAGGATCGACTGACCCACATTCAACTGCTGTTCACGTGGAACCCTTCTCCACTACAGTCTTCAAGGATCTCACTTGAATATTTGCTACTACCACCAAGATCTGCACCAATGGAAGCTTCAACCGGGCCTACGCCCAAAGTCTTCAACGCTAACCATTGAGACCCTCTTACTCGTTGCGGCCAGATTTCCCAATTTTTTTTTTCAAAAAAAAAAACACAAGCCATGAGTATAAGTTTCCCGCTCAAGCGCCTTCTATTTTCAGGACTAGTTGATTTGGCAGGTGGTTGGCGTTAGCGGTTTCCAACTTCTATGACCACTGTCCTCCTGTACATATCAACCAACGCCTTTCAAAGAGTCTCATGAGACTTTAACTCAAATTTTGATTCATCCCACAACGCTAGTTCTGCTTACCAATTTTTATTGCATTTATTTATTTGTCTCTTTGCATATTTCTTCTAAATAAATTTAAACCCCATTAATGTGAATTAAAATAAAGAAAGAAACGAAATTTCGATCTATTTTAATTAATGGTAAATAAATGTTGAAAATAAATCCTGGACCCTTTTTTTTAGTTTAGGAAAACCGAAAACGTTTATGTAAATAAATTGTAATACATAGGGTAGTGTGATAATTTTGAAAATATTATCATTTATTTGAAATTAAAATTAAATACCATTCATTTCTTTGCTACAATCTTCAAAATGAAAGGAAAAATGTAAGAAAAGCTCAAGAATTTTTTTCCCACTTTTCGAATTTTATTCTTAATTACGATATGTCTTCATACTTGTACTTTTCATGTTAGTGATGGCAAAAATATGTGGCATTCGGACAAACATTTTAGATAAATAACTGGAATGAAAGTTTTAAAAAATTAGTAATTTCTAATAAATTATAATTGAAATGAAAAAATGAGCAACAAAAAAGGAGCAGTAAATTGTTGATATGGTAACTATCCTTTGAAATTTTAATTTTTTCAGTGTCATTTAAAAAATTTTTCTTATCGTTGCTGCTACTGGCGGTGATATCAGCTTTATCTTAGCAAAATGACAACATGGGCAATTAATCAATTTATCAAAAAATTTCCTCTCTTCTCTCTCTTTCTTTTTCTTTCGCTTTCTCTTATGTTTTCTTTCAGATATAAATTTGTAACAAAAGCAACAATTTCCGCTGAAAATTTCGTATTATTTAAATATTTCATGTTAAACCTGTGGAAAAAGAAATAGAAAGAAGAGGAAGGAAAAATTTTTTTTCAGCAGAGTTGAAAAATTACCATAGCAATGTTTATGAAATTAAATTTAATTGCGTCGTAATTCCAGCAATTTCCCAACTGATACTGATCACATGAACATATATATTGCTAAAAGAAGAAATAGAAAATATTTTAAAGTGAATTTAAAAAAAAAAAAATGCAAAATCTTAGTATAAAAATCGTAAACCCTATTTATACATTATAAATTTTTATGACTTATAAACTTTCAGTCAGAAAAAACAAAACATGATTTTATTCATTTCCGTTTATTTATTTTTTTAATACAACAGACTTGACATTAAACATTCATATTTCTTACAAAATAATTAATGCCTTTAATTCCGTTTTTCCTTAACTTCTTTTTCCAGCTCAATAATTAATTATATTCAAATATATAGCATATGGTCAGTTATATGCAAACAAATCTCACGATTTTGCTAACTTTTGGCGAAAGTAAATCGTTGCCATTTTAAAATGTAAGAATCATTTCTACAAATTAAAGAAAAAAAGAGAAATATTTGTCACTAACTACCAAATGCATTCTGAAATCTTTTCACCTGTACAACAGGTACCAGTAATTGATTAGTAAATCTAAAAATCATCAAAGTTTTGATATTTGTCCAATTTATCTTTTTTATCATTGACAAAACTTCATATTTCAGACTAAGTTATCATAAATCAATTAAAAAAACATTCAAAACAACTGCATTTTTTTTTCTCCCTCTCTCTCCTTTTCTCTCTGTCTCCTTCTTGCTTTCTTTTCATCTCACTTCATAGACCTGGTAATTTTTTAATATGTTGATCGGTAACTCTAAATTAACACGCTTTTAAGATTTTGTTTGTTTTTTTTTTTTTTTTTTTTTTGATTTGGAAGCTTTTAATAAGCTTACGCTTGCTTAATATTTATCAAAATTTTAGCTAATAAAATTGCATATTGTAAAAATTATTCTATCAAAAATAAAGTTTATCAATTATTCAAAAGAAACACTATCATTACTAATTTACACTGATTGCAAGTAAATTTTATTTGTGAAATATTGACTGTTGAATGTAGTTCATTGATTTTACGGATGAATTTAAATTTTTCACTTTTGAATTTCAACAATTATTTTTAACACCTTTAATTCTTAATTCCATGTATTATTTGAAACCTTTTTTTTTAATTATTAGTTGCTGAATCTTAAATTTTAGTAGTGATTTCCGTTCGCTATATTAGCGTCAAAATTTTCTGTTTGGATAGTGAATTAATTGAAAATTAATTATTAAGCATGAGAAATAGCATTATTTCATATCATATCATTTTGCTATGATATTTTAGACCATATATCTTGAATGGCCAGAAAAAAATCAACCTTGCAGATGTAATAAAAAATAAACAATTCATTAAACTAATTAAAAAAAAAAAAAAACTGATAACAACAAAAAAAAGTCTTCAATTCTTTCGGAAAAAAACAAATTTGAGATGCAACAAATAATTAACTTTTTTCCTTTTTTTTTAAAGAAAAAAATAAAATAACCCATGCACCAAATAAAATCAATATAATAAGTGGGCTTATAATGAATGATATGACATTTTCAAGAAAAAAATAATTGGAAATTATTTCATGGTAATATTAATTAATTGTAAAAATAAAACTGGTTCCTTTTTTGTGATAAGATCAACATGATAGTAAAATTACAGCAAGATAAGATACGTTATGATAAAAATTGTTGAACTAGTAATATCTGATTTAACGTCGCCTTGATGTTGAACCAAATTTTATTGGTACTACTTTATCTGCATCACTTTCAACTTGTCGTGCAGTATGTCTAAAATTAAATACTTTTATTATAATCAAAAAAAAAGAAAGAGAAATCATTTAATCTGTGATATATCATACTATGATTATCTACTTACTTATTTTTAACTTGTATTTACAAAAAGTTTCTATTCAAAATTAGTTCAAATAAAAATAATTAAAAAAAAAGAAATTGAAAATTTTAGCATTTATTTTGCTAAAATATCTGAAAGAGAGAAAAAAAAAAGTGTTAATTAATATAATTATATAATAAACCTTGTTTTAGCATTTTTCATTTCTGCAGATGATGGCACTTTGATTGGTACCGAACTGACATTTTTCATAATACGTCCTCGTGAATCAACCAAATTTGTTTGTAAAACTGTGTTCAAACCATAATTGTTCTTTCCCAGAGTCTAAAAATCGAAAAAGAAATCGAAATGCAAAAATCTTAATTAGAATATAGAAGAAATTTTACATTAATGATTTTAATCTAAATTATATATTTCAAGCTAAATAAGAAATAATTTTCTATGGCAAATTTTAATTTACAAAATGAGATATTTTATAATGATTTCCAAATGGATAGGATGAAAAAGAAAGAAGATCCAAACCAAATTTTTTCTTTAATTCCAAAATAAAACATAAATTTCATGCTAATGATAATAGTATCGATGACAATTAACGGTAATTGATGATAATAATCAATGATAAACAATAATAAACATTATTATTGCCGTAGAAATAACAGCAGGAATAATAAACAATATCAGTCTTAAAGTTATTTCTTTTTCTGCTAATTTCACTAATTTTTTAATTTCTATTAGAATAATTTTATAGCTTAAATGAGAATTTGAAGAAATGATTAAATAACCTACCGCTGGTGGTGCTACAATAACTCGAACATTTCCTTTCGAAGATCCTAATGAAGTTGCCTTTCCAGGAACTTTCTTATGACCTTTTGGAAATATTATTGGTGGCTTGGAAGAAGTATCCGTCTAAATTTATTAATTACAGTTTGTTATTATTATTATTATTATTATCAAAGATCAACTATTCCTTCTTTTCGTTTAATCATTTCATAAGATAATATAATTTTAGCGAAACGATCTATATCAAGAATTACATATGCCTGAAAAGCTTTGATTTCATAAATTTTCTTGAACTCAAACAATATTTTAAAGTTTTTAAAAAGTTACTTCAATCTTAGAAGAATTTTCTTTGCTATCTTCATCGGGTGATAATGCACTTAATGCAGCCATCATTCGTGATCTTATAGTTAGATTTGGTGGTAATTTTGGTGTTGGTATGTTTAATTTGTCATCCTATAAATTAATCAATCAATGAATCAATAAAGAATACAGAATAAACTAATAAACAAATTAAAATTTATAATTAATAAATTATTACTAAATCAATAACTATTCCAAATGATCAGATAAAATGAAATCGAGATAAAATGAGCAATATAATTTAGTAATGCATGATTTTAACCTAGAACTTAGATAAACAAAATTCGTTATTATCAAAGGATAATTAATCATGAACTATTATGTTCAATAATTAATAATAATTAAGATTAAAAAAAATAGATTTTATTTTATTACTTCAACGATAATAAGCCATAAAAGTATGCTAAATGAAATGAACGAAATTAGTTGGAATAGTTTGATGATCATGAAATGCTTTTTAATGGATGTCTGTATACGACATATTTACCGTATTCAACATAACGGTGATGGGATTGGGATGGAAACACGCTACGTTAATTATACCATTCTAATGAATTAGTAAGATATAACATATTGTTGTTGTTGTTCTTGCTCTTGTTGTTGTTGTTGTTTTCCTGGTACAATTTGCTCCTTCGGATCACCAACTTTTTTAGCTGGACGAAGTCCAGCTGGTACAGAAAGACCATTGTTAGTATCGATGAGAATAATTGTTATCATTAGGATTGGATAGAAACAAATAGTGCTGAGAAATATCATTTTAAATCACAACAGCATAGACGACGAATTTCTGCAATGTCATTTCAATATCTTTTTGACATAGTGGCCGTATTTTTTTTTTACACATACATTAGAAAAAAAGCAATAAGTAAAGAAAGAAATGAAAGAGAGAGAGAGGGTAGGAAAGTGGGAGAAAGAAAAATAGGAATAAGAATAAAAAAAAGGAAAATGAGAAGAAAGGTTTGTGT